AACCGTGTTCTTTTGCATAAATCCCATGGTGGTTCCGTCACTACAGGGTGAGGTATAAACCTCTCTCATGGCAGCTTTCCTCATATCGGGGCCTTCCCAACTCTCCAGTTGTCTTTCAACACTTGCCCAACCCTTAGTCGAAGTTCTCAAATACTCTTGCCCTGGAAGATGTGATCACTGATGTAAACAAAACCCCGCTGAAATGTAAGCCCCAATACTAGTAGCCCTTATTGCCTAGGTTTTGCCCGACACATTACCTGAATCTCCCATATTAATGTGTGTGAAGGGTAGAGGGCAGGGATGACATCTTAATCAGATTTATTTAGGGGATGCTAAATAGATATATTGACTAATTAAGACTATACATGATAATGATTTAAAGATTTAATAACCAGGTTCTGAGAAGCAGGTACTTCATTTAAGTTAAATTCATATTACGTTAAATTTCAGCTAATTACTAGGATATTTAAAGTCCTTTCAATTTACTACTTTGAAAAAGTGACTTAGTGCCCGGCTGGCGTGGCTCAGTGGTTGAGCGTGGACCTAGGAACCAGGAGTTCACAGTTCGATTTCCGGTCAGGGCACATGCCTGGGTTGTAGGCTCAATCCCTAGTGTGGGGCGTGCAGGAGGCAGCCGATCCAGGATTCCCTCTCAGCATGGATGTTTCAAGCTCTCTCTCCCTCTCCCTCCTTCTCTGAAATCAATAAAAAAAATATTAAAGAAAAAGCGACAGCTTTTATTTCAAAACGCAGAAGCCACATTTTTAAAAATTTAATTTAAATAGGTTAAGCACTTGAACTGCTATACTGATGGTATAAGATTTCCTATTTAACTGGTGACAATGAGGAAAATACATGATTTAGTTACCACTTTCTGGATCAATACTTCTCCCTTTTTTATAGTGTGTAATTAGCTTTTTTGTCTAAACAATGTGTTATGATGAAACCCGTTTTATTATTAAGGGACCAGGATTGAGTTTGTTTTAATGGAATTTCCCTACATGAGCAGTAAAAAGAAAAAAGATATTCTATTTCTTCTAAAAGCTGGAAAATGTAAATTATAAAAGATTAAATTGATGAAAAGCAGTTCTGCATGACTTTGTTCATCTAGTTACACTTCAAAGTAATGTTCAGGTGTCTGATTCCTATCTCCTGTCCTCTCTATCCCAGCCTAAGCTCAACAAGTATTCTTGACATACAACTTTCCAATAGTTATTGGTGAAACACCACTAAATTACTCCTAAAAGTCACACAACTTAGAGTAATCTTGGTAATAAACTATCTGAATAAAACCATAGAGCCCTAGCTGGTTTGGCTCAGTGGACAAATGTCAGCCTGTGGACTGAAGGGTCCCGGGTTCTATTCCAGTCAAGGGCACATGCCTGAGTTGCAGGCTTGATCCCCAGTAGGGGGTGTGCAGGAGGCAGCTGATCCATGATTCTCTCCTCATTGGTGCTTCTCTCTCCCCCCCCATCTCCCTTCCTCTCTAAGTCAATAAAAATATATTAAAAAAAAAAAAAACAGCATAGAAAATAAGAAACTGTGTCAGTAAGATAAACTAGAACAACTAAGAAACATTTAGGTATAGCTTCTGCCTTCCTTTAACCTTTGTTTCTGGGTAGCTGGCTTGCAATTTTTATTTTGTTTGTCTGGAGTTCATTTAGAAATATTAATGGTTAAGCATCCTGAGCAGCACTTAGGATAAGCACTCTTGCTCCTTAAGTACAGGGAAAAAGTACTTGATTAATGCAATCAGCAGAGCATTTCACTAGAGAGGATTATAAATTTTCTTTAGTCATACATATAACTTAGTTTATAAACATTCTCTATGCTTCTTCACTAAAAGCTTCCTGGAAAAATCTTAGAAAGTTAGAATGAACAGAGTAATAAAATGAGAATATGTGCCAAATGCAAGGTACCATTATTCTAAAATAAAATACTATTATTAATTAGAAGTGACCTGTTAATGCTAATATAGCTTGCTATATTACTAGTGACATGGAATTTGCAGACTAGCCCTCCCCCCCGCCATCGTGTCATGCAAGCAGGAAAGCATGAAATTTCAGAATTGCCTAACATTAAAAAATAAGTCTCTTAATTTATTTGCATTCTAAAATAGAATCCTTCATCTGAGTATTTTTTCCATATAAAAAGCTACTAAATGATGTACAGGATTTGTCAAGCCCATATAACATTCCCTTTAAAATCTTAAGTTCAATCACTATTTGTTTTCTACTATTATACTACATTTTGGCAGCAATTGTTTATTGGTCTGTCACTGCAGTAATTGCAACTTAACAATAAACCAGTCTGACATTTTAGGTCTTGAAGATACATACCATATATATTTCTTTAAAAATAATCATACTTTTGTAAGCAATACTTTACAGTAGACACCTCAAAAATCTACCATAGATGTGAAACTTAAAACGAGAAAATTTTAAGTTCTAAATCTTTATACATATATATCCAGATTTCTATATATATTATATATACATACATAAGTATATATAAAATATATATAATCAGATTTGAAAAATGAACAAAAACTGGGCACTGTACATAAAATCTTTTTAAAACTCAAACAATAGAAAACTCTTTAAACATTAAACAATTTTAATAAAAGTTTCTGTACAATGCTAAGCAGCTTTATTTACACATAGAAAATGTAATAGGAGTAGTGTTTGAAATTACAGAACTCCTTAAAATTTCAATGGCAGGTAAATCTGGAAAAAAATAACAGCATTCCATTCACAAATATTTTCAAGCAATAAATATGTATTTATAAATAGTGTAAATTTACATCAAGATTAGAAACAAAAATCACAAATCTGAAGTTTATTCCTTAGTCTATGTGCAATCCATTATCTTTGTGACTTGGCTGTTAATTTTTAAACATTTCATTTAGGAACCAAAAGTGTAATAACCGCCATGGTTTCAAAACAAGACAGAAAAACATAAAAGCAGTAAAAAAGTTCCTTACCTAACTTTTCACATTAAAAAAAAGTTGACCAAAGAAAGCCTTAAACTTGCTAACTACCTTACAAAGAAATTACCAGCTAGGCTAGTATTTTTTTTTTCCAAGGAAAATTCTGAAGGGGAAAAGGATGAAAACAGGTTCATCAGCCCAGAAAGAGAGAAATATAAAAGAGGTTGTCTTCAAGTCAGTAGTCTGTATGATGTTGCCAGTTTTGTCAGATATATACAAAACATGGAAATTATTATTCTTTCTGAAGTACAGCTGATCAGTGTTGAGAGTCCTGGAGTAGGAGCAGTGCCCTCCTCAGTCCAGTTGGTTGACACTCTCACTTGGAAGGTTGCATAGACACAGTTTCAGCCAGCAGCCTTATGAGACAGCTCTAAAAGCCAGTGGTGCAGAACTGGGTTACTTCCTGAATAGCAGAAAAGGTCTCATTTAATGTCCATGGAACAATATCAAGATGAGGAAGATGGCAATGGAGGAGCCTAAAAATAAAAGTGAGGGATGTTACTTTGGTATACAAAGTTATAACCTCCCTTACTGACCATTACCCTACTCAGTGCACCAGCATTTTTCTGTACTACTTCACCAAAGTCATAAACTCAAGAACATTAAAAGTCAAGAACATTATTAGTTTGAGCATTTTTTAGATGACTCTAAAAAAAAAAGATTTGTAGAAAATAACAACAAACCAATTATAATTTCATTAGTAACTTGCTTCAGAACCTATCAACTAGGTAATGCGTTTTGTGTAACACACTCCAGGTCATTTTCTTCTTCTTCAAGCAGCCTGGAAGGCCGTTCAAATGAAAATATCAGGAGTTCAATTTCAAAAATTCAGTTTCTAATCACATATGTAAGAGAAATGTATTGGAGGAAATCAACAATTCATAAATTATTTTCCTATTTATAAAACTAGTGATGTGCTTCCCCCTAAGCATCTGCTGTTTGACAGTTAAAAATTGTGTGCAATTTATAAGTATACTTGAATCTTATAAGGTGTATAATGTAGCAGGAAGTTAAGCTCCATCAAATATTCCCCATAAGGTTGCCCTGGCCAGTGTTACCAAGTGGTTAGTGTTAGCCCAGGCACCAAAGGGTCTTGGGTTCGATTCCCAGCTAAGGACACATACCTGGGTTGCCGAATCCCCAGCTTCGATCAGGGTACATATGGGAAGCAACAGATGGTGTAGCACACCGATGTTTCCCTCCCTCCCTCCTTCCCTCCCTCTCTAAAAACCAGTGGTGGGGAGGGGGGAATCCTTGGGTGAGGATTAACAAATATTCTCATGAGGTTAATACTTCCGGCAAGAACAAAATTTTAAATAAATACAATTAGCTCTAAAAGCAGAAGTATATTTAAAAGCCCATTTACTGATTCATTTTGTTGACACTAATAACCTGTGTGTACACAAAAATTTTATCAACTGCGGTGACAATGTGATAGTGTTCAAAAAGCACACAAAGATTTTAAAATGTAATTACTGTGGTATTATTTAGGCTGGTCTCACCCAGGAAGGAAAGTGAAAATATGCTAACTTCATAGGAATAAATACTTGGACGTGGAGGAGGGGAACATCATGCAATATCTAACGAGCCAAAAGAAAATTTAAATATTTCATACCTCCTGTTTATCAGGTGGCAGAACAAACAATGCTGCTTCCCTATCCAGCTAGCTATGTACTCACATGTTGATTTCACTTACTAATGTAAATTGGTCATAGACTTGCATCAGGTCCTCCATCTTGTACTGTTCTAGCACCACAAAATTGTCCAGGTTTCTGCTTGTTTTTCGTGCACAATCTTGACAATGCACTACGTAGGTCTTTCGAGAAATGCTCTCATTAGTGACAAAAAGCAGATTAAAAACCTCCACCTATTTTATACAAGAAAAAAAGCATTCAATTGCAACAGTGGCATTTACTTATTGTAATACTTTAATAAAACCATAGAATCCTACTTTACATGGAATTGTGGACAGTTGTCTCTAGTTCAAAGTAGGTACCAAGACAAACACGGCCATGTTTAAAATTCTTTAATGAACAAGATTTATTTTGCACCAAACCCAGAGACATGGGTGGCAATGTATATTCAGGGGCGTGGCCTAAGGGAATGACATACTCATTACAACCACTGGCAAAAGCGTAATTCAAAAGTTTAATAAAGGTCAGTCTACTTTGTTCTAAATCTGAAACATTACTATACAGTCAGGTAAAGGTGATCATCATTTTTCTTCTATTTCTCATGCATAGTGCTCATACTGGGCACTATGGATGGATATTTGTCTTCCCCTATAGACTGAGCTCCTCAAAGATAAAGACTATGTTTACTCATCTTTGCACCTCCAAGGCATATCATAGTGCTTAGTGCTTAGCCAGACCTCAAACCTCAAAACACATATTCAAGTTGGTTGCCTGCTCAAAATCTTTTGATGGCTTCAATGACCTCAGAATATCAAATTCCTTAAAGTCATTCAAGATGCTCTGTAAGCTTCCTACTATATAGACTTATAATTTGCAGAGTCTGTTCTGGTAAGTTCCAGCCACATTGGACTAACTTACCCTTTTATGGATAAGCCATTTTATTTCCCATATTGTTATTATAGTTCATAATAACATTCATTCTACCTCCAATTCTCATCATTTTTTAGTCCACTGAAATCTCATACTCATCCTTAAGGATGGACTCAAATGCTAATACTTTAGTGAACTCTTGTAACAAGATAGAAAGGAAAATTTGGTCACCCCGCCCCCCCCCCCCCAGTGTTGTCATAACAGTAAGACCAACTGTGCATTCACAAGTCTCATGTACATTACAATTAGTTGTTCATAATTTGTCTTCTTTGAGCAGAATGGGAGCTCCTTCAGGTGCCCTATCTTCTTCATTTCTGCATCTCTTGCAAGCCTTGGCTTCGGCAGACTGGCCAATGTATTGTGAACTGTACCAGAGAGGACTTAACATTGACCTGCCTGTAGCGATACTGAACTACATCCAGTTTATTGGCATCTGTCTGCTTCTGGATTGTTCACAGTTCAAAATTCCAAGCCTACACTTCTTGATGATTATCATCTGTTAAATATTTATTATATAAATGACTCTGTAGTAGATACTGTGAGTTAATCCACAGTTAGTAAAATAGTATACATCAGGTTAAATTTTAATAGCTAAGTTACAAGAAAATAAGATTTTAAATACAATTACAATTTCAGTAAAATGTATTACATAAAAGTTTCAATATATTTTTAAAAATAACTAAAGAAACAAAAAGTGAAGAGTTAAGAGGCTTTATAAAACTAGGGGTGGAGAAGAACAAGTCACTTGCCTCACAAATGCTGCAGTAATGTGCGGGTTCCTCTTTTGTCCGCCCATGCCATATAATTTCTTTGCCTGCAGCAATGAGAGCTTCCCTCAATGTCTGACATTGCTTCAGGGTTCTTAGAAGACAATACCTGTTGTAGGGGAAAAAATTATTTGTGACCAGCAATTAAATATTGAATGTCTTTAGCATAAAAGATATATCATTAGAAATAATGCCAAGAGACTCAGTTCTAATATCTGTGACTTCTTTTTTCTTTTGTCAATGTCTCAGATATATTCCGAGATTTTAAAAAAATGGGGTTACTGTTCAGCAGTTCTGATATTAATATATCAGTTAAAGTTGAGAATAATTTTATCTGAATATAATGATCTTAATTTGCAAAACATGATTCCTTGCTTAAATATAAGCTGTTACTTTTGGCTCTTATTTGGGCAAGTAAATTGACCTCTTTGGGAGTCAATGTTCTCATCCTTGAAATAAGGGGTCTGAATTCCAGATCTGAACTATGATTCTAGCAAGGCAGGAAGGCATATTATTTCTATTAGTACTACCCAGACAATCAAAAACAGCATCATCTATATCGATGCTTTTGAAACTTTTGAGTCTATAAGCAGAAAACCATTTATGTGTTTAGTCACCACACAATACCAAATTGGTTTCACTATAGCATTAAAGAAGACATTTAAATCCTCTATTTTAACTTAGAGATAATATAGAATCTTGCATTTATAAACACAATTAAGTTTATAATTTGTGGCTTTTCTAAACTCATACTTATGATGCTAACAATATAGCGAATTCTCACAATTTGTGATTTTCCTATAGTTTGCTGTCATTACTTGAAATTGCTAAATTCTCTTAACTCTCCTCTGAATCTTAGGCTCATATTCTCCATTTGAACAGAGAGGCTAGACGAGATGATCTCTAAGGCACTTTTTCTTCTAAACTTCAGAGACAGTGAAAATACCCTAAAGAAAAGGAAATGGGTTTAGCAACTGAGTATTATTTGAAAGCAAAAGGTCGTATCTGTTTTATTCATGCTGTCTACTCTCTATCTATGACAGTGCCTGGCATATAGTAGGTACTCAATAAACATTTGGTTACTGAATAACTAAAATTTAATGTATAATAAGTAATAGCACATTTAACTTCTCTCAATTTATATTTCCTTGTTATTTTATAAGTGACTAGGTTAAAGTATTGTCACTTATCAGAACCCATGTACATTAAGCCAGGATAAAAGATGACTAAAAATATATGTAAAACTTAACTTAATTAACAAACATATAGCAATATCAACTTCACAGCTAGCTGTAAGGCAAACCCATTATGCATCATATTAAAAGAAATTTCTCAGTTTGTTCAGCAATTCCTGCACATTTAACTTACCCAGAAACAAAATAATGCTTTAGACCAGCGGTCGCCAACCTTTCAGACCTCATGGACAACCAGTGGTCCGTGGACCACCGGTTGGAGACTGCTGCTTTAGACTATGGTTGTAAATCAAAGCTAGGACAGCTCTCTCCTTTTTTCTCTCTATCTCTCTGTGTGTGTGTGTGTGTGTGTGTGTGTGTGTGCGCATATGTGATATGTGTTCATGAAAGGGAAGGGAGAAAGCAAAAATTTAGATCATGGTAAAAACAGACAGATTATAATTCAGACCATGCCACCAGCTCTTAAACAGCACCTGCTCTTCCCCCTTTCCCACCCCGTGTCCCATACAATTCACCTCTAAAGGCCCTGATCTTACTGAACAAGTTTTCCAACCAGGGCCTCAATATAAGGTCTCTTTCAAAGGAAAATAATGCCTACAACTCTGCAGAGACCTCTAGAAGATTGGCAGACCCTACTATGCTCCCACGTGGGAAAACAAACAAAAATGATAAAACAATACAATTAAATAAATAAAAAATGATGACCAGACAGAAGGCATGGTATTAGGTACTTCACACTATTATGCCACTTAGGCATCTAACAATCCTGTGCAGATGAGACCCGTGCTCAGAAGCTAAATTTGTCTGATGTCATAAAGCTATTTTTTAAGTCGTTGGGCTGGGGTTTTATAAAAGCAGGAAATCTCAAGCTTTTCCTCACTATCTCACACCGTGCTCTCTTCCACGTATTCTTACCCACTCCCCCTTTCTCTTTTGAAGATGAGATTCAGTCAGTGCAGTCCCCCACCCACCCCGCAAACAGAGCCGTGGTTCTGGGAGTATCATTATCCCACTCTTTACTCATGAGGAAATTTTCCACTCCAATGCTACTGACTACATTGACAATTAGATGGTAGTTTATAATTTATGGTTAGTTTGGTAGTTCCATCTAGAAAAATGCATTATACCACTTTCCTACAAACAATAAAGGATTAGAGCTAGGGTTGCTAGTAATATTAAGCCATGAGTATTCTGTGTATGAAATCACAGCTCCAGAATTTTTATTCTGTGAGATATTGGAACTTTAGAAAACCCACAGCTCTATTAATCTGATCTGACAATGAGTAACCACATTGTGGTTTTCTCTTTGCTCTTAACATTAAAATTGCACGTTCATTCCCATTTTTCAAAAGGTAGCCATTGGAATTCAAGGGAACTGAGAGAGACAGAGGCTCTTCTGAAGTCCACCAATGAGCAGCTCCTAAAGAAAGAATCTGATTCAGTCAAAGGGTAGGGAAAAATCAGAAACTACAGGAATTTAGGGAAAGGATCCTAGAGAAGATACAGGTATAATATTTAAGACTTAACAGTAATCTGTTCTGCTTTGATTAATCCTAGACCATGTCTGAGTGTATTGAAAAGCTAAAAAATAAATATCAAACCAGATCAGGATTGTTATTTCCTCTTTATTTTAGTTTTGCAGAATTTTAATAAATATATCTTACAGCAGTTAATAATTCATTTGTTAAAAACAACATATTAAATCACTAGCAAAAAGTATAAAATTGTAGAAGATATGGCGTTTTTAATAAACGCATTTTAGGAATAGGGTCAGAAATAAACAGGGGATAGAGAGGCAGGGAATTCTTTGACTTTTAAAGATCAATGTGGTTTCAGGATCCAACCCCTACTTTTAGCTGCTTGGATGAAAGACTACCACAAGAAGGCGGGGAATATTAAAGATAGCTCTGGCTTGGAAGAAAGCCAAGAAAAGGCTGATTGAGGGCTTGGTGTATTTGAGGTTACACAGCAGAATCTAATCCGCCCAAAAACCAGTCCGCAAGATGAAAGCTAAAGAAGGATGGCGTTTTAGAAAATGACTTCAGGTAGGGGATAGAAATAAAAATATACTTAAAAGTACTAAAGACAGTAACATTAGGACAAATGCTCGTGTACAATATATTCATGAATTAGGCAAAAGATAAACAGACATAGTATACCATGGATGCTAAAAGGAGGGAAAGCTCAGCTTCAGGTGAGGGGAGGTAGGAATCACAGAAGTTTGGATAAAGAACTTGTCAATTTAGATGTGAGCGGGAAGGAAAGGTGGGAGGAAGGTACTTTCCAGGCAGAAGAAATGTCACGAACAAAGGTTAATATGGGAGCAAACAACTGTTCTTAAAAGATTTTAATCTTGGGATGAGGTTTCAGAGGCACGAAAATAAAGGAATGAAGCCATGGTGCCAGGATTTTATGTTGAAATTAAGGCAACAATGGAATGACTCTGACATTCTGGGGGCAACTTGGCTAAGTTTCCAGTCAGTGTGGAGAGAGATGAGGCACTTTTAAAGATGTTATGCTAACAATCTCAGCCACTGAGAAGTAGATGGTGTACCAACTCAAGTTTCCAAGAGGCACTTTGCCTTGCACAATCCCTCTTCCTGAGAGAGCCATGCAGGAAAAGTAAGCTAACATGAGCCCTCATAACACACTTGCCACCAATCACTCCAGGGTGGTATTGCCCCTAGGACAACAGTGCGGGTCTAAATGTCAGTAAGACGTTAACAGTTTCATTTAAATCAACCACATGGCTGAAAATCAAGGTCTCAGTCAATAATAAAACTAGTATCTTAAATTGCAGACCAGTAGTTTTATTGCCAGCTTTATCCAGTGGCCAAATAAGTTTCTATTGAACGAGTACAAAAAACGTTTTACATAAATGTTAAAGGCACGCTTTAAAATTAAATACCCATTGCATTTTGAAGTTATTTATTACATGTTCTTACAAGCTAATATCTTTTTAAAGAATTCTCGTGATTGGCCACAAGCCTCAGAACAGAAAACACGAGAATTCTCGTAATCCACTCGCAATGTGTTAAGAACTTTAACCTCTCGGGTGGAAAAAACAAGTATGAAAGCAAATATATGTTAACCATGAGAAAGCAGAGTTTTAGAATTTTTAGATTTTGTTAGCTCAATGTTATAAAAAAGCATTGCAAATGCAACCCAATATTGTATTAGAAGATCCCCCTAGGACAGTGATGACGAACCTTTTAAGCTCGTCATCACTTAACTCTGGTGCCGTGTCACATAGAGAAATTTTTTGATCTTTGCAACCATAGTAAAACAAAGATTTATATTTTTGATATTTATTTTATATATTTAAATGCCATTTAACAAAGAAAAATCAACCAAAAAAATGAGTTCACGTGTCACCTCTGACACGCATGTCACAGGTTCACCATCACTGCCCTAGGACAACTACACTGGGATCTATGCTATCTATGGAGTGGTATTCGTAACTATACCGTCTCATTCAATTATTAGGCCAACTGGCTATGACCAGTGTTGTAGAACACTTCATTTATCCATTTAAAAATGGGAATCAAAGGGAAAGGGAGTTAATACTTAACAGTTTAATCTACAATGTTTATAAGAAAAGGGAAAACAAAAATATTGTTAGTTCTGAAAGAAATCTAATACAAAGTAACATTGAATGTAAATTGTAACTGAAAAAAATTTTAAGTAAAAAAAGAAAAAAAGTTTGTGGGGAGTGGTTTTCAATGGACTTGGTACTGTTGAAATTTTAGAAAATTAACTTTCTACTCCTCAGCATGCTACTGCCTGATATGCTTCTCCTAAATCAAAGATTTTCTAATATTGCATTTTTCAGTAGAAAATGGGCTCTTTGGAATTCTGTTTTTGACATTTTTAAAATGCACTCAACTGCTTATTATCATGGTTGGTGAAGAAACCGGAATTTCCAACATATCGAAACATACTACCATTAAATTAACTTGCTAATAATCCAACATGAATACAACAATTTACACCACATTTACTGGTATATCTACCATTGAGATTAACCCATTCAACTGCATCTAAAAGAACCTTTCTATTAGAACAAACTGATGGTTGCCTGTTGGGAGGGAGGATGGAGGACTAGGTAAAAAAGGTGAAGGGATTAAGAAGTGCAAACTGGTTGTTACAAAACAGTCATGGGGGGAGAGGTCAATGGGGGGGTGGGGGGAGAGACTTATGTAATACTTTAAACCAGTGGTCGCCAACCGGTGATCTGCAGACCTGGTGGTCCAGGAGGTCTGAAAGATTGGCGACCGCTGCTTTAAACAATAAAGAATTTAAATTAAAAACACACACACACACACACACACACACACACACACACACACACACACAAACAGTCATGGGATGTAAAGTATAGCATCCTTTCTAATAAAAGACAAATAGGGTAATTAACTGTACCTCTGATACGCTTCCCATTGGCTAATCAGGATGATATGCAGATTAACTGCTAACCAAGATGGCGGCTAATTTGCATACTGCAGGCAGGGTGGGACAGCGCCATCCTGCCTGCCCCGCCATCCTGCCTGCCCCGTTGCCATCCGGGCCTGCTATCTGGGACCTGGGCGGCAGGCGGCCTGTATGGGACCCAACCCCGGGCTGGCAGTGGGACCACAGCAATCCGCCACCGGCCACGCCCACAAACGGCCCTCCAGAGGGGATCCGAGGCTGGTGGGTGCTAATGCACCGATCTGCCAAAACGCAAACCCGGGCTGCCTTTGCCCTGCGCGAAC